ATTGATTTTTTAATTTGGGTGTTCCTTTAAATTCTTAAAGATATTTTTAACAAATTCACTTTAAATTTTCTGATGTTGATTACGTTTAATCTCATGGTCTCTAAGTAACTTTTTGCAAAAATCATTCGGATTTTTTTCTAGTTTGATTTTATATTCACTGAAGAAGTCACAAACATCTGTTTTTCTCGGCAACGATTTTCTACAGCTATCAAAAGATCCAAAATAATAAATAAACTTTTTGTTTTTAAAACTAATCAGATTGTTTTTGATATTTCACGAAATTCAAATAAGAAATTTATTTATAATAAGCTGTATAGAGCAAATTTTATAAAGTACTAAACTTATACATAATATGAAGAAGTAAACATAAAAATTACCTGATTGGCGAAAGTTTAAAACAGTTTTCATTCTATTGTCAAAAATTTGAACCAAGCTGATTAAAAACTGTTTGCAAACATTTTGATTAGAATTATTCATATTTAGTAAGCTATACTTTCAAGAAAACTGTCTATTTTTTCTTTCAGGATTTAATTTTGAAGATTTAATTTATCTTCTGTGCGCACAACTCATTAAATAAGAATGTTGGTCTATTTTATTTCCCAAAGACCAAAAATTCTTGAATATTTGATACTCTTTCGAATGGCATAAGTGAGAATTTGATTTCTGCCCAATAAACGGTGTAAAACGCCCGTTTTAAATTGATTAATTTTTTAACGTTACGTTCTTCAGTCCAATCTCTGTCCACTAGTTTGTTAATAATTTCAATTTTTTGGTTTAAATGAGTGTTAGTTTGTTATTATTTTTAAAAATTTTAATTGTAACATCTAAGAAGTTTATCGCATTCTCTCCAACCTCCATTGTGAATTGGATTCTTTACAGCCTTTTTTGATTCATCTTGGTATAAAATTTCGAAATTTATTAATAAACCTATTGGTAAAGTTGTAGGTAAAACAGATTCTTATGTAAATGACTTTTGGGGTCGTTGATTACAATGCCGATGTCCGTATGACCCCATCACGTCAGCATCAAGGTCAAACACCTTAATTCAAAATATTTAATTTTTTGACTGCGCATTCAGAAAGGACGGAAAATTTTACATCTTACTACGTTTTGACCGTTTTTATGAACCAACCTTTGAAGGTCATGTAGAAGGTAACATTTTTATTTCATTCTCTTGTCCAGAAAGTTATCTTGGAATGGATTTTAAAACAAATTACTTTTTATGTTTTTGGGGTCGCTGATTACGATCCAGGTGTCCGTATGACTCCATTACATCAACGTCAAATCAAGGTCAAAAACCTTCATTCGAAATATTTAATTTTTTTAACACCGGACCAAGATGACCTTCAATTGACCTTTAAAGATTGATTCATAAAAACGGTCAAAACCTATCTGGGCGTAAAATTTTCCGCTCTTTCTTAATCCAAGGTCAAAAAATTAAATATTTCAAATTACGGTGTTTGACCTTGAGTTAACCTTAATGTTGACGTGATACGGATACCGGCATCGTCATTTAAATATTTAATTGTATTAACTATATACCAATTAAACATGAAATAGAAATTCTATTAATAATAGAGTAAGTGTACCAATTGCCGAGGGTGTCCCATTTGTTGATGTTACCATGGTAATAACCAAAAAATATTGAATAAAATGTCTCATTTGTTTGTGGATATAATATTAATATATTTTTTTCACATTTATAACGCATAAGAAAACCAATATTTATCACTTTTTCCCATTTACAATGTGCTACAATGTTTAAATAAAATTCAAAGTTTGTTTACTCGACAACAGGAAACATCCTCGACAGTTAATACTTTTACCCTATTTAAAAAATATCTTCATTCCTATTACAGTTGTATTAACATTTTATGTAAAAAGCTTTTATAACTTTTCTTAACAATTTTTCACTGTTTATTTAATACATTTGCTTACCATTTTTAACAATAACAAATCAAACGATAAACAACAATGTATTATTTTGAGGAAGACTAACCTCATTTATTAAAACACGTCTTCATGTGAGCAGAATACTGAAATTTGTCTACTGGTCATTGTACTTTTCCAGAGCCACCTCCCATGAAACTTACACTTATGGAACCCACTGCTCTCTATGAGAAAGTAGCGAAGCTGTCTCTCCTGTTTCGATCTAGTCTTCTTGGTGTCAAATGTGAATTGATAAACTTAACCTAACATTCTTTTGACCCTATTTCTTAACTTATAAATAATTAATTGTTCATATCCATGTCCTAAAACATTTTTGTGAGCATGGAATCACAATTTCAATTGTTTCACATTAACACTTTCAAAATTAAAGTCTACACATATATATGACGAGCATGTGCAATACAAAAATGAAAAATAACCCAAAACCAGGGAGTAATACTAAGGAGACTGAACTGACTATGTAAAGTCTCTCAGAAATGAAACCTTTTTCTGTAGGAGAACTATACTCACAGATTGGCAAAAATTATGCTTTGCGCTCATGCGCAGTACATGCGCATATTTCCCTCTTTTTATTTATCGTTAAATTTTAAGCAAGTGAGAAAACAAAAACATATCAAAAGGTTATGGTTGTTTTTTGGCACATGTTTCTCAAAATAAAATATTTTATTGGAGCAGAATTTTATTTGTAGGTAGGATTTAATAATATTAAAATACTTATAATTATTAGATTTAATTACATTACATTTAATATTTATGATTTATAAAATTATTTTAAGTACACGGAAAAACTTTTTTCAAGAGTTATTACGAAACTTATTCAAGAACTCAGGATAAGGAAAAAAATTTAGAACGTTTTTTAGAAAAGTTCAATATTTATTAAAGAATTTTCAGGTGTTTTTCTAATGGCTTGGAAATAATTGTTCTTGACGCTGCGACTAAATACTTTAGTGACTGCGCGCTGAAAAAGTTCCGAACTATTTAAGAAAGAAGACGTAGAGTAACCAAAAGGTATACAGCGCCTGTTGGCTTTATGCGCTTGAAATATGATCTAAAGCTATAATATCGTAACGCGTCCACAGCCGAGTGGCATAAGGCGGAGAGATCTTTCTTAAAATCTCGAGGTCTCAAGTTCGACAACTCACGCGGGCAAATTTTTTTCGTTAATTTCACATTTTTCAATTCTTAAACCAGTTCAGGACTTTTTCAAGAAAATTCAACAAGTAGTCCAGAAATTTGCTACAGTTATCCCCGAACAGCTTAAAATAATATTTTTATCTACGGTTTTGTAGCATTTCTTGTTTCTTTTCCATATCCTGAGTTCTTGAATTAGTTTCTAAATAACTCTTGAAAAAAGTTTTTCCGTGTAATAAAACGAAGTATTTCCAAACAAATTTATTTCACAGTGGTTTTCATGTTTGAGGATAATAAAGTTACAAAATTATGGCTTGTTGCATCCCAGGATGCAAAACATCATATTATAATGATCGACAATCGAATTGAATATAAAACAAATCACATAAAAATGGTTGTATCAGAAAATTATGTACCTCAGAAACCAAAAATCGCTACAAAGCATAAAAGACAAGCAAATAATAAAAAAGCGTTCAAACAAAAATAAATAAGTATTATGAAAATTAGTGATTTAAAGCTTAAAAGAAAAAGACTGTTGAAAGTTAAGAAATTATTTTTATAAAATTTTTATTTTATAGATTAATATTGTCAACTATTAGAGATGTTTTATTATTTTATTATTATTGAGTTTAGTAATGTCATTACTAACAATAAATCTTTAGTAAATTTTGCTAAATTAAAAGGCAAAATAAAAAAACTCACTACATTAAATTCAAGACTATTTATTTAAATTAAATTTAAAAAATCATTTCACATATTTCATTAATTATTACATTATTTATATTTTTCAAAAAAAGTCAATTACAATAGATTTAAACATAACCTTCTTAACATGTAGCTTGTTATGATTTTCTCAGTCGCCTGAGTTTGTGAGAAACCCAGTAAACGAAAACTAATTGAAATGAATTAAAAAGAATTCACAAAGAGCTTTCGTGAATCCCGCTTTGTGACAAATACGAATTGGAGCCATGATGCAATTTTCCTGAATTCGTGAAACTGTATTGAACTTCCGAACCTTCTATCCGTACCAATTCACTGGACAAGTTTTGAGCCTTTAATTTTTTTCAATTCGTTAGCATGAATTCAATGCATTCCTTGGCCATTTCTTTCGAATGCGAATTCGTTTGGACAAATTGGTACATATTGAATTAAATTCAATTGAATATACAAAGAGCTTGAGTGAATCCCGCTTTGTGACAAATACGAATTGGAGCCTACCAAAAATGTTAATTCGTTTCAATTCATTTGAATTAGTTTTTTTTTACTGGGAAGACAGACAAATATATTGCATGTGCGCATGCGCGAAAAGCATAAATTTCGGTCTTACTGTATAACTATACAGTAAGACCGAAATTTATGCGACGAATGGTTTCACTCCCATTTCATTAGTTTAGTCTCCTTAGCCCTACTCCCTGCCTAAAAATAATGTTAGGATTAACAATTTGTTAACTCTTTTTATAAAAAAGCATCTGTCAGTATTTAAAAATAATACTGATAATTACATTTTAAATTAATATCTATGAGTATTATAGAATATAGAAAAAACGATTTAATAAATACGATATGTGAATTTACAGATATTGAAAATGACGAACGTGTGTTGTCGAAACGTCTACTAATACTCAATGTAGTCGTGTATATAATGTGGTTATTTATACCTAAATGTAAATAAATAATAAATTACTTGTTAGACGAAACAAAATATTTTCCAACAAAACAACACTCATATAAGTACAAGTCGAAACGATAATTAACATAAAAAATTAATAAAATGTATAAGCTAGTATTAAGCAATATGCTAGTACATAAATAAATAAAATACTATAATAAAATACCCGATTTATGTTTAAAATAAGTAATAATTGCGTAATAAGAGTGATTTAAAACAGTCTATCACTAAATTAATTAAATATATTTACCAATTATGCCATTGTTATAGGTTTTGTGTCATTCGACAATCCATCGAGCGCTCAGGCTGCAATCCAGTCGATGAATGGCTTTCAAATAGGAATGAAGCGTTTAAAAGTTCAACTGAAAAGGCCCAAAGACGCCAACAGACCTTACTAACCCACGTCCTAGCCTAGAAAAACAGGCCGAATCGCGCCATATATTATAACCTACAGAGTAAGTCATATAATAGTAAATCATAATTTACTTTCCATTAAATTGATAAAATATCTTGTTTCGGATTTTGTACATTAAATATCATTTTTTAATTTTAAATTGTAGTTATTTAGAGGGTCTGGAAATAGATTTATCATATTAAAACATATTCTTATTTTTTCAGATTAAGGAACACGCATAATATGCCCATAGAAATATTATTTTTTCAAACATTTAATCAATTTTTTAAAGTTTAAAAGTTGACAATTATGAATAGTTTTTTATGAACAGCTTTTTGGACAGGTTTTTGGAGTCGCTGATTACGAATCTGTTTTTAGTTTTTAAATTTTAAAATGGCGTATTTAATATGGCGGACTTTTTTTAAATACTACATGCGCGCTTGAAAACTGTTACTCTGGGATTTTCAGGGTTGCTGATAATATATCCGTTGTTACACTAAAAAAATGTTGAGTGCCGTGCAATCCCAAGCGTTCAAAAGTAGAGGAACTCTAGTTTTATTGCGCTACGATCTCAATACGGAAAATCTACGTTCTTATGTCGTTAGCGCTGAACCGCCTAAGCTTTTTTTCCAAAAAACTCTTTCTGAAAGCAAATTAATCGCAGGTTTCTATTCCAAGCTTTAGTTTAGATCCCTAGAGAAGTGTTTATACCATAATAGCTTTGATTTTTTTTATTTGGAAAAAACAATTGACTTTAAAAAAATAGCTAATTTTTAAGGAATGAAAAAAGTGTAACCTTGAGTGGACCACTCCTAAAAAATTGTAAAAGTTATTCTAAATTCTTTAATGTATTTAATATTTCTGATATATTGAAACAAAATTTATGCTTATGCAGCTCCAGACCATGCTTGTGTCGAAATGCTTACAAGTGAAACCATTTTTAATAATTTTGGCACATATCACATCAAAATCACAAAAAAATTAATAAAGAACATAAAACATAGTTTCAAACTAATTTATTGTCAATTAATTTCCATAAAAATGGTAAACTGACATTAAAAATGTAAAGAACAGGCAGTCCACTCATGGTGACATGCAACTTTTTGTGACAGCCACCACAATTTTTTTTTGAGTCAAAATTATCACTTAATTAAACTAAGACAATCAATTTCAATGTCCAAAGTAGTAGGAAAAAAATAAGTTTTCTTTTAAAACTTAAATTTTACACTACTTTTACACTTCCGAATCACTTTACTCATTGTAAGAGCGACTTCTTTTTTGGTTTGTGATCTTAAAAATGCGTTACATCAAACGATAACGTATATGATTATCGCGGAACTTAATTTTTTACGGTTTCTAGGTGCGGTGCTGCTATTCGTTTTATTTATTTCACGTTTCCGCTGTCAGATAACTTAAAAGCTCAGGTGGTCCACTCAAAGTGGCGGTCCACTCAATGTGACATTACCCTACATACGAATGTAAAATTTCAGTCCACTAGGTCAACAATAGTAACGGCCAATGACGAGCTCTTTCTCGTTCTGAGATATTAAGGCAAATGTAATGTTAGTACACACACACATCGGAACATTTTTTTAAAATCCGTTTTTTGGATTTCTGAGGTCAAATTACATTGAAATCTTGTTTATTTATTTATAACATTTATACGGTCAGTGCCCATTCGTACATAAAGTACTAAAAGATTAGGTATAATGAAAATAAGTTGATAAATATGTCAAAAAATCACAATCGAAAATTTTTCTAATACAATCTCTCCTCTATGAGAAAGCAAAATACATAAAATATTGTAAACTGATTGTGATAAACCAATCATATTAAAACCTGACTCTATTTGAAATTCAATTCTTCACAGGCTGACTATATAAGTAAAACGTGTAATAATTTCCAACACATATAATAAACTAATAATACAAATATTAAGACCCGTTTCTCCACGTACCGAAGCTACAAAGGTCCGACTATATCGAACAAACATTATCAAAATGTTTGCCAAATCGATTGATTCTACAAACGTCCCACTCTACAACGAAATAAAATTCAACCGTTATTACATAGATCGACTCTACTCCTAATCAAAAGTCAAAGAAACTGTTCCTCCACAGACCAACTTTTCTAGGGAAATAAAATTAAATGATACTAAATGAAAATGAAACTAAATATTACTGAAGATGGTTGCCGTTAGGAACCGAATCGTTTACTTATACTGTGGATTAAATAAAACTGTTGACTATAATTATAAAAATGATCTACACAACTTTCTTAAATTATTTCAAGGTCAATGAAAAACCATTTTATAATCTTCCTTAGAATTAAATGATATCGTTGCTTCACAGACCCATTCTGCAATGGTCCGACTCTATAACGAAATAAAATTCAAAGTAATCGTTGCTCCATATACCGAACATACAAAGATCTTACTCTACATCAAACCAAATTCCATGAAACCGTTTCTTCACAGACCCTCTCCATAAAGGACCGATTCTACATCAAATTAGAATTATTTTAACCGTTACTGTAAAGACCGATGCTTTAAATTTAGAACTCTTTGTTACAATAAATTTTGTCTAATAAATATAATTATATCTAGAGTAATTTTTATGCTTATATTTCTTAAAACATTTAAAATTTTATTTTAATTGTTAGTAATTTTTTTGTAACATAAAATGAATGTAATTTTAATACTTTATTAATAATTAATAGGGGAGAGGGCCCTAAGGTGGTCACCCATCTTTTGAACGACTGTAGATTTCAAATGGAATTATATATAAAGGTCAATAATACGGCGTTTGAAACTTTATCTTATTACCTAACTTCCTATTATAAAGTTTTTTTCATTTCTTTAATAAAAAAAAAGTTATGGCAATTTTTAAAAAAAGTTGAAAATTCGACTTTTAAAAAAGTGGCCCCAAGGTGGTCACCATACAAAAATTCACTAAAAAAGTTTTAAAAAAATGTAAAAAACGTATTATTAAGTTGTTTATTTAATATTAATTGTTTTTTAGGATCACAGAAACATATTACATATTTTTTTTTGCACTTTGTCCTTTCGTCAAAAATGATACTTTTTGTGTATGTATTAGACAGATAAAATTTTGAAAATAATTCTATTTCATTATTATTCATCATAAAACTTAAAAATTGATAAAATTCACATTCACAGTGATAAATGTTGATAAATATAGCGTATAAACACATTTTCATAAAAAATCAAAAGCGACCACCTTGGGGCCAAAAAAGTGTCCACCTTAGGGCCAAGACACAATTTTTTAAACGTTAATGAAAAAATTTTTTAAAGAAGAATATTAATTATATTCATTTGGAATATTATTGTACGATATATAAAGATAATTATAACGATTTTTACTAATTTAAAATGGTTAATTTCGATGATTTTAACACCCTGAGAAAAAAATTTCTCGATCATTTAAAAACAGAAATTTTACGACGTTCACGTTACAACGAGACTCATACGACTATTTACCTCAAAACTTCACTAAAATCTTTGTCTTTTCAAATAATAACAATAACAAAAAACATTCGAAGATACTAACTAATATACAAAAATTTTCTTAGGGTGACCACCTTAGGGCCCTGACCACCTTGGGGCCCTCTCCGCTACTAATACACTCGACTCTCGGATCTTTTGCATTCAGATCTTTTACACTATCGATCCTTTTGCAATTTTTCTCCCGCACCTTTTACCTTTTACATTAAATAAATAAATGACTATGAGAGTGTCAAAATATTTATTTCACGATAACTTAGGTTATCTGAAGTAAATTATAGCAGCTCCTCCAATATGTGGTAAAAATTACATTAAAATTTTAATTACTATAAATTTAAAAATTAAAACTAAAACATAAATACTGTCATTAATTTATATATTTGGTTATACATATTGTATTGTTTTGCGTTACCATGGCATTTGTTTTGGTAAAAGATATGAGAGGATTTGGTCCTATAAGTGCAAAAATTCCGAGAGTCAAGTGTAATATTAATAAGAGGGGAAACTGTGAGAAGAGATACCAGGATGCGTTCCCCTTGCGGATACTTCCTGATATCATGGAGAGTTACACCGACCTCTACGTCCAAACTTACAATGTTCACGTGCACTTGGATATCATGGACGCGGGGTAATGCCTCGGCACAATCCCTCTTGGACAGAGTAGTGCTGATGTCCTGTAATGTCTAGAAAAATGTCAATATGACAATCAAGGATGGACTCAAAAGCTTAAAATTGCTCTTACAGGATGTCAAGGAGAAGCACGCAGCATCTCTTCTGGACCAGAAGAGATGAAAAGTTCTACCAGAGATTAACTTGGTCGGAAGAAGCACGGCAAGACCGAAAGCTAAAACGTGACCGTTTTAACGCAGCAATGCTAAAAAACGTTGTCTTCGAGATTCATAAGCGGAAGAGAAGCGGCCATGAGCTTGCGAAGGGCATAAAGACAAAGAAGGAAGAGGGATCTTCTAAATGGACTGAAGGAAAGAGTACCAAAACTGTACCAAAGCCAGATTCAATCAAGAAAAGAAGACAGCGACAACAAAGAATATAAATGATTGTCAAAGTGGCTGAGGGAACTACATTCGCCAAAGTGCTAAGGAAAATTCGTGAAGAAGCTGACCTGGAGGAAAATCAGACAAGGGTTGTGGGAGCTTTATCCACTAAAAAGGGAAGCCTCCTTATTAAAATTGGAGAGACTTCAAATAAGGTGCAAATAGCGGACCGGCAAACTACGTTGGAAATCCGCGATATTGATGCCTTTATAGAAAAGAAGACGTTTAAGATGCCCTGGAAAGAAATTCTACGGTACCAGCAGGAAGATGACTGTCCTTAGACCAAATAAGCGAGGAGTAAAGCTCGCTGTTGTGGTTACTAGCCAAGAAGACGCTGACAACCTGAAAAAAATTGAGCACATTAAGATTGACCTACAAGGTCAAGAACAGAATAGTCAACAGAATAGTCAATAGTTATGGCACCTTGTGCCCATAACTCTTC